GAAGTTAACAACTCTTAAATATACCATAATTAATTATAGTGTAGGTGACCGTATCACATATAAGTAATGAATCTATAAGATAAAACTAGACAAAGGATTAAGTGAATCAAACTTAATTATTCTCTTTCAATCGTTTTTAAATTAACAACTTATAAGCTCTTTATAATTTTTCTTTTCTTACCTTGCATAAACATTGGGGGTAATAGCTTAAGAAAAAGACAATTAACATTGCATAACCATTTTTAGGTGTTAATAGATTTATTATGAGTGGTTAACAGTTATAAGAAAATTAAAATTAGAATTAATCTAAAAGAAAACATAAAAAATTGTAAAGGTGAAATCATATGCTCTAGGTTCTTTTCAATTAGTTTATTGTTAGAAGTTATGTTATTTTAATCCTAATTAATTATTGGCTTAATTATGTCTTAGGTCTCTATAAAGTTAGCACAGTTTGCGATAAGTCCCTATAACTTTTTTTGTTAAGATTTAGTCCTTGAAAAGTTGAGAAGTTAGGATTTAGTCATTGAAAAGTTAAGAAGTTGGGATATACTCTCTGCCATCAACTCTCTTTCATTAAGTGCTGAGCTAACTGATAGAGAGTCAACTTAGCACTCTTACGTGGTACCACGTGGCATGCCACGTCATTTATTATATTTTTTATTATTTAGAATTACATAATGAAGTTAAGGTTAATTTCACCTCTTTTTAAATTGTAAAACTGAATGTGATCTAAACTCTAAGTTCTTTAATTGATTGATGATCAATTTCACTAAGATAATCAAAGTTTAATTTATTGACTTAATGATCCTAATGTTCAATTAACTACCTTAATTCCTTATGTGTAAATCAATCAAATATTGCATTAGGCATTAGAAATTAAGAGATCACAAGATCATGAATGTTTATTCCTAAGATATAAATAACCTTAACATTCAATTTAGATATGAAAAATTAACTTAACTTCCATTGATAAAAATTCTCAAGTTCAATTTAATTGAATTGTTCATCCAAGAATTGCATTAAGGAAAGAATTAAATGTTTAATACAATCAAAGACCTAGCACTCAGATCCATAATTAATTTACAATGTCAAAATTGGATCCATCAATTCCTAACCAAAACAAATTAGAACATGTTCCTAAAAGAAAGAGAAAAAAAAAAAGAGTTAAAGAGAAAGTGCAGAAAGTCTCCATGAATACAAGTCTTAAGCCTAATTCCTCTAGGTTTGAGCTTTGAAATTCGTCCCCAATCCTCTCTCTCTCGTTCTCTCTAAGAGTGTGAAAAAGAAAAAATGAGAAAAATCCTAAAAATTCTGAGCTTCTCACTTTTTATAAGTTTACTGCACTTATGGCATGATCACTATTGGTGCCAAGAGTGTTTACGCCAAGCTCTTTTGTATTGACAACTTTTTGGAATACTCACTTTCTACATTGAAAGTGTTTACGTGTAGGATATTTCTCTAGACAACATTCTGAAACACTCACTTTTGGTGCTGAAAGTGATTACACACATGATCTTCTTCAACATTCAGGTGTTGGAACACTCATTTTAGGTAGCAAAAGTGTTTACGTGCAACCATTACTCAAAAATGTGCTTCCCAAGTGATCAATTTCACCTCTCAAAGTGATCACACACAACATACCTCTTCCTAGAAGCTCAGAAACCTTCACTTTTATTGCCAAGAGTGATACGCACAACATGCATTCTGTTTAAAAGCCTTTAAAGTGATCACTTTTGATGGAGAAAATAGCTATGCGCACCATACTGCACTCCATAAGTCTCTGAAATGCTTAGTTTTTGTATTAAAAGTAGTTACGCCCAGTTTTCAATTGAATTTTAGACCTTTAAAATGTCCACTTTTTGCACTCAAAGTGATTACACTGGACCCCTTTGACCTCTTAAAGCTTCCAAATCATGTGTTTCTCCTTAGAATTTCCTGCAAAACTAATTGAACAACAAAATTTGTATAAGAACTCTATGAAATCCAAACAAATTGAGTTACTAAAAGTAAAAATGGAATTTATTGAACACATATTTTTTTATGAGGTTTTTATCTTTCAAAATACACTTTTCTATTAAAAAGATTATAGAAAACTAACTAAAAACCTATCAAAATCTGGATTTATCATAGGTTAAGCTATATGAAGTAATTTACTTGATGCATGTTTTGGAAGTAGCAACAGTGGTGTTCGCACCAAAGATCTATAGGAACTATCTCTAAGGAATAAGATTTGAAGTGTTCAACGATCACCAAAGTTTGAAACAATTATACGATAAGAGAAAGTTAAATATGGGATGTGATTGGTAGATGGAGCTTATGATGAATTCCAACTTCAAGTGGTTATACCATCTTGATAAAGCAAACATTGTAGTTGTTGTATTAAATAGGAAATCGTTGCACAATTTGGCTATATGGTGAAGAAATGTCAATTAATAGCAAAGTTCAAAGATTTGAACTTAGCATTAGAAATGTGATGTAAGAGTCTACTTTTGGAGTCTTCAAGGATTAGTAACAACTTCCTAGTGCAAGTTACAGATGCCCAATAAGGAGACCAATATTTGTAAGATATGGTATGAGAGAAGGAAAAAGGCAAAGATATGGAGCTTTATTGTGGTGCTACCTGACTCATCAACTTTAAAGACAGGATGTGCATTTCTCAAGTAGAGAAATTGAAGCACATGATATTGGAAGAATCATAAAGAACCAATCAAGATAATTAAAGAAAAGACAAAAGCATCACAAGAATGCTAGAAGAGCCACTACAACTAATGCAGAAAGTCTTTAGTGTTCCAAAATAGGAATCTTGTATTCAGAAAGATTTCATCCACTATTGGAATCGATAAAACTTTAAAAATCTAGAAGATTATATAGAATAAGACAGGTAATAAGTGGATTTCGAGGGTGAAATTCCTAAAAAGGTGAGAGAGTTGTAACATTCCAATCTTTATTTGCATTTCCTTGTTACCAAAATGGAATATTTTCCTAAAAAAATATTATTTTTGAAAAAGTGGTTTTAGCTCAAACTAAAATTTCTCACTTAAGCGAAAAAGGACTAGATTTCCTCACCTATATTCTTGCTCAAGCAAGAGAAATATATCGCTCGAGCGAAAATTCACAACAGAGATGGGTAGCTCTATACCGTGTTTTTGCTCAAGAGAAAATACTCTCACTTGAAAAACCCTCGCTCAAGCGAGAATCCTTTAGAAAAAGGGATATTTAAGTGAATTTGGCCTTCTAAAACACATATCTCAAACCAAGAAACAATTCTCATCTCTTTCTTTGTTCTCCCATTTCTCTTTCTCAGAGAAAACACCTTTGAATTCCAAATCTCTTTCAAATTTGAGCTTAGATATCTCTTCCTCTTAATTTCAAGTAAGTTTCTTAGAGATTGATCTTCTAATCTTATTTCTATTCCTTCATTTTCTTCCTTCTTACAAGTTATTATATTTGGTAATGCTTAGGGAGATCTTGGTCTTTTGGACAACATCTTCCATCACCACTTTGCAACTATCTTGTGGATCTCAAGAAGAACTTGGTGTTAAAGACATCAACTTCTATCTCTATTGTGAAAGACCCATTTTCAGGTAAAAGGAGTTGATCCTAAACCCTAAGTTTATTTTTATATTTTAGCTTGAAAAACTCTTTTGAATAGTAAATCTAAAGTATTTTCTTGAAAGTATAAATAATGATAAAAATAGATTTTTGGCACGAAAAACCTATGGTTTAATTTAAAAATTACCTTAAAATAGAATTTTATAGTAATAGTTATGAACAAACAGTGTTTTAAGAAGTTTTATGATTTACTATTGATTATCATCTATGTGAATAAAATAAGTATTGGAGAATGAAAATAGGAAATTTTAAACTCTAGGATAGATGATTTTTATTAAAACCTAGAGACTGTGATCTCTGGCAATGTATTTGTGATATGTGATTTGATGTCAATGTATGATTTGTATGATGTGAATATTTGAGAATGAGAATTTTGGGTTGTTTTTATAAGATTAATGAAGAGTGTTTGATTATTCTTGAATGATGAAATGTATTTTATTATGCATATGTGAAATGGACTAAGCCTGGATGTGTGTGACCTTAGACACACTTTATTTAACTGAATGATGAAAAAGAGATGAAAGAAAATGTATTATTAGTGAAAAGTAATGAAAGGAATTGGTGTGAATATTTGAGAATTGCTGAGAAAGTATGAAATTGATTGTGTGTGAAAGGGAATTATAAAAATGAAAATGATGTATGAGATTATGTATGTGGATTTGAAGTTGTGTATGTCATTAAAAGAGAAAGAAAATGTGTGCTATGAAAGAGTGACGAATATATGTGGATTAAAAGAATTCAGAGAAAACTGCTACTTTTAAGTTTTCATATGGATAAGTTTCAGTGCAAAGATCACTACTAAGTATTCATATGGACAAGTTTTAGTGCAAATTGCTACTATAAAGTTCTTGCACGGATAATTATAGAGATACACTGAGAGTATAGAGTTCCAAGATAATTTAAAAATCTGGAGGAAATATAACTACTTATTTCAATTATCTTACTGAACAAAGTTGTTTTTATAAACAATCATTTCATCTAACAAAATAAACTTTTAGTTAAAATATCCTCCCAAACATGCTCTTAATAAAGCCTCATCTTTGCCTTTAAGTATAATGTGACCTCTTGTCTTTCTATGTTATATTATGATATAATAAAACCAATGTTTTATATAAAAATATACAATATTAGGCAATTATCACGTATATTATGTTGTTTGTGATCTACGTTATATCTTAGTGAGAAACAAGTACTAACTAGTTAAGGTGCTTGTCCACCAACCAATCAGATAACTAAAGCAAGTGTCAGCGGGCAGCAGAATATCAAACATCACTTATCTTGTTCGAAATAAAATACGGAAGAAATGAGTGATGCATTTGAATGTTTCCAGTATATAATTACAGGTAATACAATATCAACCAAGACATCAAAGACCAAAAAGTGCACCCTCTTCTAAGAAATGGTGGATTTCAATTTCCCTTGGTTTCAATACTAGTAACATTTTACAAAACAAAAAATTTCTTAATTGTTACACAAGAACCAATTGTCTAATCCCTATAAATGTCTTACATCCTCAATATGGACACAGATTCATCACTTTAAGTATACAATCTCGGTCTTGACAATCACTTGAAAGCTAAATCACATTTGGATTCATGTCTCTTATTCCCTCATCCATTGTAGAGTTATAACAAATATAAATCTAAGTTGGTCTCACCAAGGTGGATGATCATCCTTAGAAGTTTGAGGAGGAATTGCTTTCCATCCTGGTTTCTCATCCCAGTACATGTCATAATATATGTGCCCAGGAGTGTGATCCGGCACGCAGCACCATGTGCCCACATACCGCTTAACGCGATTTCTGAATTTATCTTGCTTTTCCTTTAAAAGAAATGCATGGCATCAGCACATGATAATTAACAGTAGTTTATTTGTATGTGTGATGCTAACTCAATTCAAAAAGCAAAATTTCAAATGGGAATAGCAAAATATCCTTGCCTTGTTAGTGAAACCTGTGAAAGCATCTTGCACTGAAGAGAACTTGATGACTTTTACATCCTTGAATGATGAGAATACTTTTGTAAACTGCAAATGCAGGTAGAAATAACCATGTTAAATTATTGTCAGTTAATCAACTATCACATTCTGAAGACCCCAAAAAGAGAAAAAAAAAACAAAGCTTTTCATATAGTGTACAGATGATAAAACTTTCAAACTTCCAGCAAATAACATGAATTTTCAAATTCACATAAGTTATTTTTTGAAACTTCCAACTTGAAAACCAAAGTTCCTAACATGGTAAGTTCTACGGTACTCTGTAAAATGAGAGAGTATTTCATGCTCTCTTACACAGAATAATTATGACCGTTAATTTTATATCAATAAATAATGGGATTAGTGATTTATTTGGATGTAAATACCTTTTAATTTTTAAGATATTAAAGAAATTACAACCTTCAATCTAGAGAGAGTATTCAATTCCTCCTTAAGTTTAGGAGTACTGTAGCAAGCACCTCCTAACATTTCTCCAACCACAGTTTTCTAAGTGAGATTTTAACCAGCTCTTTCATGAAAGATTACAAATTAACTTGGTATAATAATAAAGATTAGGTTCCAGGTATAGAAAAATAACCACATCAGTGAAGGTAATAGGGCTGAACAGAAATAAGCATTAAATGGATAGATAAATAATCAAATACCGTTTCTTCACTGCTATGCTTTGGGAATTTAAGTACTCTCCCAACCATGGTATCATTTGATGCATCACAATCTTTACAAAGCTGAACATCAAGCCACGATCGTGTCACCTGAACTCAAGAACCAAGGCAAAAAAGTTTAAAATAACATAAACCAAGAAATGAGAATCGTGATTGGAAATTGGATTTAATTGAAATTTAATTCACCTCTGACGGCAGAGAGGGATTATCAAGTATTGAGTACTCTCTAATATCTATTTCAGGGCCAAACTCTTCTTCTGGGAGTTTTTCCAACATGACATTAATCTACAATAACATATTTCCATAGCAGAATATGGAAGGATTCATAAAATGTTGTAATTAAGTAAACAAGGGAGAAAAGATGAGGAAGAGAACATACTTAGATATTAAATATTACATACCATAATTGATGTACACAATTCTAAAAACCTTATAAAAATTAAAGAAAAAACATAGCACTTCATATTTTATTTTTAAGTACATTGTTGAGGTAAAAGCATGTTTAGACATGAATAAAACAGCCAGAGTGATTTTATACGATTTTATTAAAAGAAATTGCATGAGTAATGAGTAGGGCGATGGGATATTTAGTTCAAAGGAAACTTCAAATGGACTTTTGAGTCCATTCTAGGTCCATTTCTTGTGTGCTCCTTGAAATGATCCAGCCCTAAACCAAGTCTATATATAAAGAGAAAGGTTTTGATCACACATTCCAGGCTCCTCAATATTGTAAAATAAATGTAAAGTGTAAAAAAACTAAAAAAGATAAAAAGGATATTCAAGAAATTTAAGTATTGTTTAATGAATTTAAAAATTGTGAAATATATGTTAATATGCCAAGTTGTATTAGAAAAATTAAAAGTATATTTATAAATTAATTATTAAGGAAAAGCTAAAAAATCACACACACGCACGCATATAAAAATTAAGGATAACTTCATCACTCTCAATTTACAAAAGTCGTCACTGGACGGGAGATATGATCCTCATCCCCATACTTATATCTATTTCAAGGGATTTTTTTTCTGTGTCCCCATAGGAATGGAGGAAAATTTTCCAAATCTATAGCACTAAATGAGGCAATTCATGCATTGATACCCAGTCAAAAGGGAGAATTGCCATTCCCACCTTCAAACCAAAAGTAATGAGTCATGTATTTAATCTTTCAGATCTAATTGATAAACGAACAGTAAAAATAATAAGGAATCACTTAAAAAGAAAATACCTCAAATACATGGTCCAAAGGACAGCGAAAAGGTTGTCTAGTCATAGACCCCTCCAATATACCAGGATGGGGATACCATAACCTATCAATCCTGCACCATAGTGGAGGCATGACCTAAATATACACAAAGAACCCACTCTAAGATAAAAAAATTTAGTTAAAATATACTACAAAAAAGTGAAGCCATCAATCTTAAAATAAGCACACCCAAAGGAGCTAAATCACCTGCCCAAGGCCCCAAGCTGTAAATTTAATTAAAACTGTCTTATAAAAAATAAATATTTCAACTCAAATCATTTCAACATGTAAAGACAATATATTTTGTATTGTAGGGATATGATAGGAACTGAATATACTTATTATTGTATGGTAAGCAAAGTCAGGGGATATTCCTGATAGTACACGGAAATAGCTGGAAATATCAGAAAGAAATAAGTATTGCTAATGCAGGAAGCAATGAAGCTGTTCCTATGGCCGCCACCCCCTCCCCCCTCATTCATCCACGTCATTCATTCCATTAGAACTTCCTTAACAGCCTCCTTGCCCACAATCCCTATTCTACCCCTCTCTGATAACATTTCTGAATCAAAAAGAATAATCATACAATTTATTTCAGGTTTTCATGGAACAAGTAGGGACAAATGTTAATTAACAGGGGATGCTCACCATGGCAGTTAAGAGGGTTGATGATGAGACATTAAAAAATATAACATAATATACAATAAGTATGTATGATCCCAGAAACTAGTTCTTACCAGGGTTCTGTTCAAAAGGGATGCAATAGCAAGTGCTGTCCTAATCTGTTTAATCTGACAAAATTCATGTGCAACAAATTTTACAAGATGAAAAATCATAATTTCCCTTAAAATGTAGTCATGAAGAATTAGGTTGATACGTACATACTTGATAATTAACAAGAGCAAAATGCGATTCAACATTATGCTCACCACTTAGCAACAAGCTTTTTGGAATATATGGCTTAAATGACAAGAAACCACCTGCAAAAGTTCCTCTAAAAGTTAAGTTCCACTAACATGTTAAAATGTATAACTTTTAAATTTTCGCAGCATATTATGACACTAGCTTTAATGGAAAAAATAGAAATCTCTCAATGCAAGGTGTAAGTAACATGCAAAGAGCAAAATATGTGTATTTGCACAAGCTTATTAAAATAAGTAAAATTAAGTAAATGGTCAGCTTGCCCACATTAAGCAAGAAACAGAAACTAATTACCAGGAGGATTATAGTATTCTGGTGGATCATGGAAGAGCATGGCTTCTCGCAGTCTGTGGCGCTTTCCTTCAGTGCCTCCATATTGGAATGTTGTGTGCACTGCATATGGCTCCAACCTTAGTTGCTGGTACATAGCCTGCAATTATAATATACAAATATTTTTACATCAAACAATTATACATTTATTTCTCTTGTCCAATCAGGATTCCTCCAGACAGTTAATTGCATTTGCATAAGTGTATAACAATGGTAAATAAATAAAAAATTAGAAGAAAAGATTTCAAACAGTTGAAAATTTTAATTTAATAGATCCTACCTGCACAAAGTATGTATGTCCACTACAGAAGATACTTGCAGGCAAAATTCCCATCTTCAAATTTCCATCAAAAGCATAAACAAGTCCACTGTCATCGTCAACAGATGGTCCCAACTGTCTGTGAATCATATCATTAAACCCATTCTGATCCCATATCTTGTCATCAGCTAAAAGCATTTCTTTCCATTGCTTTGCCAATTTTAGTGCAGACTCAGTAGGTCTCCAATGGAAAATTCCTATGTTGTAGGCGCCGCTAACTATTTCAGATGATAGACAAGAACATCAATATACCTTCTTAAGAAACAATTAAACAAGTGAAACAATGTGCAAAACAAATGTAATAAGAGCAATGAAATGGTTACTGTGATTTGAAGTTTGAACACAATATAATCAGGGAAAGTAGAACTTGCTTCAGATTATGCCATTTAATTTCTTAACTAATGCCAAAGAGTGTGCTACAGGAAGTGAATTACCATAAGATTAATTTTGTTTTTATTACGTAAGCAAAGACCAATTACAGAATAAAAAACCTTCAGATTCTATCAAAGGTTTAATGAAAAAAAAAAAATTGTTAGCTTCTAAACTAATGCCTAAAAAGTGCTTTATTATTTGACATAAAATATGACTATCATCCAATGAGGCAGCTTTTCATGTCCAAACCTGTCACTTACCCTGCAAATGATGGCTTGAAAGTTCTATATATGTCATAAATATGGTGTGTACAGAAAATAAAGATGCTAAGTACAATGAAAATATTGACAAAGTTTTCATCATTGTATAACATTCACCTTCTTGCCAAATTTCCAAACTATCATCAACAACAGTTGGTATAACTTGATCGCTTGAAGTTAAAATATCTGCTTCTGGATAACGAGCAAGATATGGAAGTGGGTTCTGTTTCACAATTAAATAATTGAACATATGAATTAGGAATAACATATATCTCATAACAATCACATTATTGGCTTGGAGACAATGCAAAAGATGTGCACAAACTGACAAAAGATCATTGTGCAACATGAACGTAACAGATAACGGACACGGGAAAATATAAAGACAAATGTTACACTAGAGAGGATTAGTGAATTTAATTGCTTTAACAAGCTGGACACAACAGAACAAAATATCTGATAACTTTATTGCATAGAGGTAGAGAAAGAAAACATCCTACCAAATAGAATTTTACTGCTTTTTCTAGATCATGAATATAATAATAAAAAAAAAACTAAGCACAAGAATCATTAAACAGATTGACTCAAGAAAACATGCACAAAAAAAGGATCACCTTTAACCAAACCATGTCAGTATCACACATCAACAGCTCGAAACCGAAAGGCAGTATTGAGTCTATCAGAACAACTTTTTCTCTTCCCATTTTATGAAATGTTGGAGACCCCCAACCAACATCTACAGAGCTAAAATGGCTGCCCATGTCAAAAACCGGCACCCCTTTCCAATACAGCGCCTCCAATAACTTGGTATCCAATGCACCTAAAAGGTATGTTTCAAAAATAAAACAATTAAAGCTACAAAATACTGTATAAACATTTTCTAGCAAGACACCACTGCATATCTAAACAATACATGATAGGTAGAACAAGATAGGAGAGTTAAATGACACTGCTCACCAACAAGGAAATTAGAAAGCCCCAGATCTGTCAATCCTTTAGTCCATGTCAGAATAAAATCCCTGAATGCATAGTTACCAAAGGTAACTATCACAACATTATCTTTCACCCTTTTCTCAACCAAAGCTTTCGTAAGTCGAAAATCCTTCAAAGTTGGCATCCTTTTATTGGATGGTGGAGCATCCCATATAGACTTTGGCCATTCATTTTGCAGCCCTGGGGTAGGAGCTGGCACTCTATTCACCATTGCTGACCCAGAAACATTAAGCGTTTGATCCCTAACACGAGAATCCTCATCTGAAAAGTCATGTTCAACTAAGATCCAAACCCAACTCACAAATAATACAATAAACTCAATGCTAGAAGATTTTAAATCTATAATGCATTGGCACCACCATTACATTGTTGATACAGTTCACATCACAATTAATAAATAACTCTCAATTTTTCTTCTCTAACAAAAATAAAGTATATATCTAATGCTTCATAACTTATGTCTCCTCTGTAACTTGAAATAAAAGGCAAATATCATTATCTAAAGAACATAGCAATAACAATAATAATAATTGAAAATTTGAAGAATAAGATGAAAGAATCTAACGTACTCGAAAGGGAAGAGAGCCAGGCAGAAGATTGAACAGAGGGAGGCTTAGATGAGTATATGGCAGAGAAGACGTAGAATGAGGAAACGACGATGCCAATGATGACAACAGTGTAAATCGTGAGGAACAGAGGCTTCCAATTCGCCACTTCCTCACACCCTTTTCTTCCCAACGCCATTTTTATGAGTCAATATTCACTCACTCTTTTCTTTTTCCACTTTCACAAATCGCCAACAAGAACAAGTAGCTACCACTAACGCCGCATCAATGATATCTATATCATTGCTTTGTTCAGAAGAAGATTTGACTTTGAGATTGCGAAAGAAAACGGTTTGGTTGATTCAGATTAGCATTTGGAGAATCTTTCAAGGGCCACCCAGCTGTGTTGTTATGGTCAACCAATGTGCTTGTCTGCTCAACATGACGGACACCATTGCTATTCAACTTTCTGTTTAACAAATAATTATCACTCTTCTCTTTCTTTATTCTTACAATTTTTTAAATTATTTTATATTTTAAAGATAATAAATCTATATATTTTTATTTCATATTATATTTAATATCTTTTGACATATATTTAAAGATATATAATAAATAAATTTTTTATTAAAATATAACATTTAATATTACTAATATATTAGATTTTATGATGTCTTATGATTCTTAATAAGATTTTACAATAATAAATTTGTATTATATATTCTAAACATATATTAAAAATTATTTATAAAATAATAAATTTTATTAACACAATAAATAAGAGGATATCACGAAATTCCTCTATAATTTATAAATTAATAAATTATATTTATTTAGATTTTGGATTCGTTAACCTTTTATATGATTCAATAAAAAAAATTAATTTATATTTATACTAATTTTTAACATCTAAAATAAAAGATTTAAATTCTAAAATGAGGATAATAAATATTAAATAAAAATAAAAAATAAAAACTACCACTTGTTTAAAAGTTGGTGCGTGGGGGTAAAACTTAGTTAACCATTTGTTGATTAAGCAGCAACTATATAAACAAGTTTGGAAAAGTAAAGGTTGAAAATAGGAAAAAATTGCATATAAACTAAAAATTAAATGTTGAATAAACACACTAAAACATTTGTAAAATAATAATATATTACTCAATTCTTATTTTCATTAATTCTTTTGAACAATATTTTAGTATATGAAGAAATTCACATTTTATTAATATTATGTGTCAAATTTTTAAATAAATTAAACTTTTGTAAATATGTTATTTATAGTAGATGTTTATTTATATTTAAATAAATTATATATAAAAATAAATTTATTTAATAAAATATTAAACAATTTTAAATTTTATAAACTTATATATTTATTAAGAAATTTTTGAACTAGTAAAAATAAATAAATCCTTCTCTTCTACTAAGGGAATGTATTTTTATTTTTATATATTTAAGGAAATAATTTTCTTTAAAATTATATTTTTTTATTTATTTTGAAATGTTTTTTTTATTTCTATTGGTTTAAAAGAAGCTTAAAATATAATGTAGAAAAATATTAGTTATTTAAAATGTTGAAAATGTAAATAAATAAATAAATATAAAAAAAAGAGTGAAATTTTTTTAAAAATAAAATAAATTAGGCTAATATTTATGTGAATAAATGAAAAACTTAAAAGCAAAAACGTCATGAAATTGTTTCCGCAACACAAATTCAGTAGTACATAATATAGGTATTCTACGTTGTAGCTAAATAAATGTGGCATGTTATAGTCAAACTTATTAACTTATTTAATATTATGATAACTTATTATTGATTAGTTATATAAAAAAATTCAATACCCATAGTTTATTCCAATTAAACTAGTGAAACATGCATTTTATATAAAATAATAATAAATTTATTTTTAATAATAACTTTCTTTAAAAATAGTTTAACTTACTTTTTTAACCATGAAAGAACATAATTTTACTAAATATCTCATTTTCTAGATAGAGTATTATTATTTTAATATATATAAATTAATTATTTTTTATTATATTAATAAAACCAAAAAATTCACATTTATAATATTTAATTTTTAATTAAAATTGATATTAATTGACTTGACTTAAATACATTTTTATTCATCTATATATTTTCACTTTCCAATTCAGTCTCTTATTTTTTTTTTCTTAAATTGAAATTTAGCTTTCATATTTTTTTCTCATCCGGTCACTTTATTAGATTTTTATTTATTTTCCTTAAGTGTTTATTTTTCTCGCCTATTTAAACATAACAAAAGTTTCATTTGATTTCTTTAAATATCACATGTTCCTATTTGATTCTCCATTTTTTTATACTTAAGAGAGAAATCTAAGAAAATACATGGGAAAACATTATGAAGCATAAATTATAACTCATTAAAATTAGAGGATTAAATAAAAAATTGATGGTAATTAAAAGAAAAATAAGCTGGCTAAATTATAATTTTAATCTGTTTATTTTGAATTAATCTGTAATTTTAATTTCACGTGTTATTTTCTAAAATTAGTTTAAAAATTGAAGAATAAATTTTTTTTATTTTGTATAATTTTATATAAATAATATTTTTTAAATAAAATATTTTAATTTAACTTTATAATTACAAATAATTGATTTTAAAATAGTACATTTCTCGTATGGTGTTAAAAAATATAATTAAATATTAATAATCAAAATATATATATATATATATATATATATATAAATTTAAGTAATAAGACTTATAAAAGTAAATTTCAAATTTTAAAAAAAATAGAAAACATTAGATAATTTTTATAAATGTCGAAATAGGTATTTACTAAAAATATTAAAATTAGGGTAACAAAGAAAAGATAAGTAACAACTTTAATTTTCAAAATTAAAATTAAAATTAATAAAGATGTGAGTAAAAAGTAAAACTATTAAAATTAAATAATTTACATATCATTATCAATCAATTTTAATTTAAAATATACATGTGACATATTATAAAAAGAGTAGATTCATTGACGCTTCACTTCATATATACTAAAATTTATTTTATAATATAAAAGTTGATATAAAATATTAATTATAACTCCTCTATTTAAAAAATCAAGAAAATTTGATTCATTTAGTAATTTTTTTCTATATAAAACTCTTAATATCAATTTCTTATGTAAAGATTTACTGTAACTATGTTGTAAAATTATTGTACCTTTTATAAAAGAAAATAGTTTAATTTTGAAAAAAAAATTAAAAATTTTGTAAGGATGTGAAATTAGATTTTTTAATTAAAAATTATTAGAATTTTAAATATAAACCTTTTAAATATGAAAGTTATACACTTAATATATATATATATATATATATATATATATATATATATATAGAAAGAGAGAGAGAGAGTTAAAATTAAAAAATTAGTATACAATTAGGTATGTATAACAAACGAGATTTTTAATCACCTTCGAATATAAAAAAATGATGGTTTGTATGTATATTAATAGTTTTTTTTTATAGGCAAAACATATATTATTAAAGAGAGTTCAAGGAAAACTCAAAACCCATTTATATAGAAAAAAATTACTTATTCAGAGAAATAAAAAATAAAAATATATTTATACAAAGTTAAGATGGATGCAATTTCGTGGGTTCAAATACCAATCTGCTAACAAAATAGCTTCTCCCTTACTAACAAGTGATAACCATTTCCAGGCTCAGAACAATAGAATCTAGGACTTCCCTCTCATCCAAAATACTATTAGAAAATACAATTATATTTCTATGTAACCACAAAGACCAAACTGTACTTACCCAAACAATTAATAAACATATCTATTCTCTTTTACTACAGCCAACGCCAACCCAAAAAAGCAAGTGAGTCAATAAATTCAAAGGCAAAACCAGTGAGAATCCAAGACAACGCACAATAAAGTACCAGATTTGAGATGAAACTGAGCACGTTAAAAATAAATGAATTGAAAGTTTCTCCAAACCATGACAGAAGTAACAAGTTATATCATCAATTTGAACAGCACGATCAGTCAGCAAACCTTTACAAGGAAGTGCATTCAACAACAGTTGTCATGAAAATGCCGTACACTTAAGAGGGACCTTCCCTCTCCATAGCCTTTGCAAGACATCTGCCGTACACTGATATACACTATTAGGACCACCAAGAAGTTCAAACAACCATAAATACGCAGATTACACTGAAAAATAATCTGAAGAATCTACCCTCCATACTCATTTATCTTCTTGTAGTAACTTAATAGAAACCTCATTCACAAGCTCCAACAAAAGATTAAAGCTTGAGATCTCATACTAAAAGAGACATTTTCGCCAACTAACATCATAAAATGAAACACAATATATATATATTCAAGTCCTGTTATGTATATTAATAGTTAGGTATTTAGGACAACTATTTTTTATGTGACATGAATCAACTCAATCAGATCATGAATGAGTTGATTTAAGTTGAATAATAGAGTCAATATTTAAAGCATAAAAATAAATTTTTTGTGATATATAAAATTAAACATTTATTACATTAAATTTAAAAATTATCATTTTATATATAAAAAAAGTCTTGAGTTATTATTATTTAGGTAAAATTTTTGTATTTGATTCAATACATTTTTAAGGTTGAATTGATATCATATTGCAAATTTTAAAAAGAGACTTTTTAACTAATTAATTTAGTTAATTTTAAATGATAAGATTTAGATGTGTTTGATAATTAAATTAAAAAATTAATGTTAGTACATACATATAAAAGGATGTCATAGAAAATTCAAATCATATTAAAAGAATTTAAAAATAAAAATATAACAGATATAAAATAAAATTACAATAAGTTGAAATTACATGTCGTGGATGTTTCTAGTAATGTTGTTATATATAATCATGTAAGTAATCTTAGGATGGCATTTGCTAAGGAGTAAATGAGTAACTTCAATGTTTCTTCTTTTTGTATCTTTTTAATATTCTCTTCAATCCCTCTCTTTTTTCTTTTTGATGTTTCTAAGGTGTTTTTCTTCTTTATTTTGTTTAGTAATTTTGTCCAACTAAAAACCTCCTCCATTAGAAATCTATAGTCCTATTTATAAATTATAAAATTATAAAAATAATTACTAAAGGTAAATGTAAAATATTTCTCTAAATACAAGCTATTCTCACAATCTAATTCCTATTATGGATTGTTATTATGCTTGGTTTGAACAAGAAAATGTAACAAATTCACCAATCATTTTAAAAGAGTATAAAATGTATTATTTTTGCGAGGATTATTACTAAACTCAATAGATTACATAAAATACAACATAAAATAAACTAATAAATATGTTTTAAAGTTTTTATGTCGTATTTATGTTGAAAAGAACATTATCTTGTAATGAAAACAATTTCAAACGGAAATGTCAAAGTGAAATTTAGATGACTGAAAAAA